TAAGACATAAAATTATGTGTAGTGAATAATTTAGCGCAGCTGATCCGTGTACATTAAAGTCTGGATAATTGATTATCAGTGCTAGACACTGGGTTACTGTTCCTAGTAAGACTGCAAAATATGAACTAAAAAAAGTTCTGTGAAGGAAAAGAATTTAGTTCTATGAGAATGCTTATTAACAAGGCAGCTATCTAGAATCAGGGCAGGGGAATAACAGAGACGACTTTTCTCCTCTGAAGCACCTGTAGGGATGAAACAAGTTTGCAGAGAGGGACAGGTGTGGAGCAGAGGGAAAGAGTATTCCGGACAGTAGGAGTATGCTGAGCAAATTTGTAGGAGAAGCCATGGCAGGTGTAGGGAAGTGTCGCAGGCAGTTTGGCTAGCACTGTGGTCCGTAGGGCCCAACCTGTGCAACGTGAAGGAATGAGGAAGAGTCTAAATACAGAAAGGAAGAGAAAAGCTCTAGTTATACAGGTTCATCATGTGTCTCAATCTTATTACTTTTATAGATTATGAAATTACTCAGTGCATTCTATTATAAAATAAAGAACTTCTGTGTTGTCTTCATTTGTCAAATTACATCTATTAAAAGTTTCTACTGAAAAAAAAAAGTGTAAGAACACATAAATATTGTCAACCATGATCTCACCATACTAATGGTAATTTTTGTTATTTTAGTTTTCTCCTTTTTTTGATCTCATTCATAGGGAAATCAGAGATTTCAGCAATGTCAGCCCCTGAGAAGCCTACATTATCAGAAGAAGAAATGGAGAGGAAGTCTAGACCTATCATTGATGAATTTCTGCACATTAATGATTTTAAGGTAAATGAAATTTTAAAAAAGAAAGAAAGTAACTGCAAAAGGCATTCAAAACATATGGTGAATGTTTAAATTTTTCTTCTAAATTTTTTTACAAGGACTAGGCATGGTGGCACATGCCTGTAATCCCAGCTCTCAGGAGGCTGAGGCAGGAGGATCACTGCGAGTTCAAGGCCAGCCTGGGCTACATACTGAGTTCAGGACCAACCTGAACTACACAGAGAGACCTTGTCTCTAAAAAACAAAACAAAACAAAAAAAGTTTTTTTTTTTTTAACAGTAAAAGACACATTGCTTTTTCTTTTTTTTTTTTTTTTTTCTGGTTTTTCTCCAGTACTGGGAATCGAACTCACGACCTTGCGCTTTCCAGGCAGGTGCCGTGCCGCTGAGCTAAATCCCCAGCCCCGACACATTGCTATTAATTCCTCTTAGAATACCCCACCACAACTTGGTTAAAACATACTTACCCATTGTTCATGCCACTTTCTGAGGTAGTTCTGAAAGTCCTTTTTCGTGTCTTTATAAGATGTGATCAAAAGTACACTGAATATTGTTGCTGCCGTTCAACCAGAGGGCAGGCTTATAAAAACAGTGCAGTGTGTCCTTTTTCACTAGATCTGGCACCTTCTACCCCGTTCCCATTGTCCTCTTCACGGCTATCTGCATCTTAGCTTGCTGCTACCCCCTGCTGAAGCTGCCCCTGCCAGGCACAGGCCCTGTGGAGTTTGCCACCCTGGTGAAGGACTATGCCCCACCCCCTCGTGACCCTGACCACTGGCCAGGGGAGCCCAGCGAGCGCCCTGAGTGGTATGTGTGTGCCCCGGTGGCTTACATCCAGCAGATTTTTGTGAAAACCTCAATGTCTCCCTGGCACAAGAACCTCCTGGCAGTAGATGTGTTGCGCTCCCCTCTGGCCCAGGCGTTCCAGCTGGTGGAGGAACTCTAGAACCATGTGCTGTGAGACAGCTCTGGGAGCAGGAGTCTGGAGGAGGTGTGCCTGCAGGTGACCGACCTGCTGCCAGGCCTTCAGAAATTCCAGAACCATATAGCACTTCCCCAAAGTCAAAATAACCATTAAAGTTAAACATTTTAAATGGACTCAGAACATCAGGATACAGCTGTAACAGTGCAACTAAAGACACTCATGTAAGAGAACTTCAGGAATGCTTCAGAAAGTAGCAGGAAGCCAGACATTGTGGTACACAACTGTAATCCCAGCACCCTGGAGGCTTTGCTGCTCCTGGCCACCCTGGGCTACATAGTAAGTTTAAGGCCAGCCTGAACTACGTAGTGGGACCCTGTCTCAACCAAAGGAAGGAGGGAAGGATGGGAGGGAAAGAAAGAGGCAGGAATGATGTGTTTAAAGTGAGGAGAAGTGTTTTGGGGGAGCTGATTGCAATGTGTCTTGTACAATAATACTTTTTATTTTTTATATAATAAATATTTCTGCGTATTTTTCTATCACACCTCATATTCAGAAAGGCCTATGACAGAAAGACAGAGTAATTTGATTCTGGTCTAATCAAGCATCATCACGATTGTACTTTTTTTTTTATTTTGGTACCAGGAATTGAACTCATGACCTCAGGCTTGCCAAGCAAGCGCTTATGCCACTGAGCTACATCCATGGTCCAGGTGTCATTATGATTGGATAAGGCTTGGCTTGAGTAATCCAGGATTCACAGGGTTCAGTTTGCCTAACTCTGGTACATTACTGCCAGGTCAGCCTACCTAAATTGATACTGAGTTCAGAAGATGGAGTGGTAGAAAAGAATGGGTATCTCAATCTAAGGAAAAACCAGAGTAACTGATGATAATAAGCAAAAACCAACCAATTTTTTTTTTTTTTTTGGTGCAGTGCTGTATATTGAACTCAGGGCCTTCACACTAAACTACATGTACAGCCCTTTTCTGTTTCTTTACTTTTGACATAGGGCCTTGCTAAGTTACTAAGTACGCAGGCTGGGCTCATACTTTCCATCTTCCTGCCTAAGCCTCCCAGAGTGCTGGCTGTACAGGCATACACCACCTGGCCAACCCATTATTATTATGAGGCATTGCTGTTACAGTGATGCCTGTCCTGGTCTTTACAGTCACTGTATCATCATTCTCATGTTAATTTCAAAGTATTGCTGGCATTTCTTTCACCTGATTTCATAAATGGAAAGCTGAGGTACCAATGGCAAGGGTCAGACAGCCTAAGTGAAAAATGTCAAGACATGGCTTTGAATTTACTCTCTTTTAACTCTTACCTTTTCCTTGATCTTCATTTTAATATGGCAAGATAGGCATGCCACCTAAAACCATGAGCCCTGCAGTTTCATGACAGAGACCAGCCAGAAACCAGTATCTTCACACTTACTTAAATTGTAAGGTCTTAGGAGAGATCATATGCTGGAATCTAGTTTAGTGATCTGAGCTCTGGAATGACTTATCTGTTAAACCACACTCTTAAAATAGTTGTCAGATATATTAACTACTTTTGCTTTGGCATTATTAAAAATTCTTCCAAAATTACTTATAATCTTTACAGTCTAATCATTTTCTGCTTTCTATACGCAGAAATTACCTTGGGTATCTCTGAATTTCTAAAATCCAGAGGTAGGAAGAAGTTTCTGATGCCACATAAGGTAGAGAGGAGTGCTTTGCAGAAACCCTTGGAAACATGCAAAATGAGTGAATACCAACTGAAAAGAGCTAAGGAACATCCCTGATGTACAGCATATCGCTGGCTAGCTTTCTGGAAAATGAGAAGTATTCTTGTAAACTGCCAGCCCAGCTCTTCTTTCTTGCATAGAGATAGGGAAATACAAAAAGACTAACAAGAAAATTGAAGAGCTATAAAAGATGAGAAGCAGAGACAATAAGGGAAAAAGCAGTAGGGGTTGGCTTCTGACATCATTTGAAGGATATACAAAGTCATGAGGAAAACTATGATGAACTGAAGGTATAAAGAGAAAAGGACCTTATTAATACACTTAGGTGTAACAAGAGTACTCACTGGAGAAACATGAGCTCTTGGGTAGGCCTTCATCATGGCTGTAATAAATAGGGGATAATTTTAGATATTTGAGGGGGATTTACTCTGTGCTAGGTGTTGGTCTACATATTTTATATGTATTCATGTAATCTTCAAAAGACCTTTCTTAGCCAAGTGTGGTGGCGCAAACCTGTAGTCCCAGCACTGGGGAGGCTGAGGCAGGAGGATCATCGCTAGTTCAAGGCCAGCCTGGGCTACATAGCAAGACCCTGTCTCAAAAATAACCAAAAAGAAAGATCCCTCCTAAAATTGTTATTTCTGTAATACTTGTTTTTACAAATAAGAACCCTGAGATGCAGGCTTTTAGCTTGAGAGCACTCTATGCTTTATTTTATTTGCTTTAGTGTATTAGTGTGTTGAGCTAAAAACTTAGTTCATCCTAAGGAAGGAGTTTTTTTTCTAACATCTTCTTAGTAAGTGTTGTTATTAACAGTGATATAAATAATATGTATTGAGCCCTTAATTTGTGTCTGGCTAAAAAATGAGTGCTAGTATATTCAGTCTTTAGTACATAACCAGATTAAATGTCTCCTAGCAGAAATTGATTCCCTGTGTCTGCATAAAGGATCAGCTGCCCATGTCCCAACAGTTCATTCACAACATTGCCTGCTACCTGATTTTTCTCATGGTTTGAGGTCCTATTCAAAATGACCTTCCCTGTAGTATTCTCTGACTACCCTACTGCCTAGTTCCCCTTCTCTTCACTGAAACATTATTTTTCTTTTTGTAGCTGTTGATCATTTATTTATTGCCTATCTTTAGGGTCAGTCTTACTTGTTCTAACCACTATGATATATGCACCATTAAGGCAGAAAATGTTGTTCATTATATATTCACTGTAGTATATCCAGGCTGTAGCCCTCAAAATAGGGCTGGCACATTTTATGTACTCAATAGATATATTCCAAAGAGGCTAAAAACCTACATGGTGAAGGAAGACACATGAAGCTTTGAATCCTGACTCTGCCGCTTAATATTGTGTGACTTTGGAATATAATGATCTCTTAGCTTTAACTTCCTATCATACAGTTACTTTAGGAAATATATAAATATCACATTCCCAGACAGAATAACCTCAGCCTTTGGATCATGACATTGGCTTTCTATATCTTACACCATTTTGAGATTTTTAAATGATTATAAAATAAGTATATATGGTTTTGAGAAACATATTTTGACTTGCCCTTTGAGTGCTTTTTCATAAAATTGTTAACCTAAATGTGTTAGTCTTATAAAGATATACCATTTTCTCTCCCTCTCCCCTCCCTCCCTCCCTTTTTCTTTCTTCCTTCCTTTCCTTCCTTCCTTCCTTCCTTCCTTCCTTCCTTCCTTCCTTTCTTCTAAAACAAGCAACCAGGCATGGTGGCAAACACCTATAATCTCAGCACTGCAGTAGGCTAAGGCAGGAAGATTGCAGGTTTCAGCTCAGTCTGAGCAACCTAGTGACTTAAGAAGACCTGGTCTCGAAATAAAAGATAAAATCTTTTAGGAAAAACCAAAGTATAAATAATGCAAGCGAAAAAAAAAAGGATAATAGGAAACAGGGAGATAGATCTTTTGAAAATGGAAAAGGGATTAGAAGTGGAAGGAAGGGTGAGGCGGGGAAGGGGAAGTGAAAAGATTAAGACGTGGCAAGTACATATAGCAACTCACCAAGAGGAAAATATTCAGTATGTACTGTAGATGTATGCTAGTAATAAATTTACAATGAAAAAATTTTAAAAAGACTGGCATATACAGTAGCTCATATACAGTACAAAGCCCCTAGGGTGAGTTCCCAGTAAACCACTCACCCAAAAGAGAGAGTACATGTAAGTCTCACTGCATTGCTCAGGATAACCTTAAACCCTGTGGTTGAAGTGATTCTCCTCAGCCTCCAAGCAGATGGGTCTTCCGGCACACAATTCTATACTTCTTTTTTTTGTTGTTTTGTTTTGTTTTTTCTTAATGTGACGAATATTGCCTATATCAGCCTACATTTTGCTGAGCATTATTATGTTTAAAAGGCAAAACCCAAAGTTGGTTGTGATGGCAAGTGCCATAATCCCAGCGCTGTGGGAGGCTGACACAGAAAGATCTCAAATTCAGCCCCACCCATGGCAACTTAATGAAACCCTATTTCAAAACAAAAAATAAAAAGGGCTGGGATATAGCTCGTTGTGAAGGTCCTGGGTCCGGTCTCCAGTACCACAAAAAGAAAAAGCAAAACCTTAAATTAGAAAAACTATCTTGGTCTTAGATCTTTCTGGAGGCTTTTTATCAAGAGTAAAAGATTTTAAAGTTATCTTTTGTTGCAGTGCTGGAATTGAATTCAGGGCCTTTAAACTGAGCTGCATCCCCAGTCCTGCTTACTTTTTATTTTGAGAAAGTGTCTTGCTAAGTTGCCAAAGCTGGTCTCAAAATTATGGTACTCCTGCCTCTGCCTCCCAGAATGCCAGCATGCTGGGATTACTGGTGTGCACTAACACCCCAGCTGTTTGATCTGCAATTTTAACAGGAAGCCATGCAATGTGTGGAAGAGCTGAACGCCCAAGGCCTCCTACATGTGTTCGTGAGAGTGGGAGTGGAGTCTACTCTAGAGAGGAGCCAGATCACCAGGGATCACATGGGTCAGTTACTCTATCAGCTGGTGCAGTCAGAAAAACTCAGCAAACGGGACTTTTTTAAAGGGTGAGTATCCTCCTCAAAAGTGGCATTGGTTACTAGGCTCCTTGGGTGATACTTTTTCCAAAAATGAAAATGAGTCCCCTCTAACATGTTGATGTGATATAATATGTTGATATTATGTTACTTGATAGGAATCTCTGAGATCTTCACCAGCTCTTTTACTTAAAGATTTGCATGTGGTTTTTGTTTTGTTTTGTTTTGTTTTGTTTTGTTTTTTGAGGTGGTTTCACTGAGTTGCCCGGGTAAGTCTCCAAACCTCCTGCCTCAGCCTCCCTTGCTGCTGGGATTGCAGGCGGGGACCACCATGCCTAGCTCATGTTCATTAAGGATAAAAGCTTTTCTTTGTGAGAAAAATTCTGAAAATGGACTTAAAACTTTGTTCTTTTGATCTTCTATGGTTATTTTGGCACGGAAGTGCTTCTGTATTTATTCTCAGCCAGCAGAAGGATCATAACTTCATTTCTTTAATGATTTAGTCTATTCCAGGTTGGCTTCATGTGATTTTTGTAAGCAACTGGTTGGTGAGCTCAATTGAGTTATATCACCATTTGATCAGGTTCTGGTTTTTCTATTTTTAACTGTTTGTTTTTATGATGCTAGGGATTGAACCTAGGACCTTCATGCTGAGCTACATCCCCAGCCCATTTATTATTTTTAATACTGAGACAGAGTGTCACTGAGTTTCCCAGACTGGGCTCAACACTTGAGCTCTTCTTGCCACAGCCTCTCAGAGTCCTGGGATGACAGACATGCACCACCACTTCTTGTTTTAAATTAATTACTCGTTTTAAATTAATTACTGATTGATTTATTTTTGCAGCATAGGGGATTGAGTTCTCAAGGTCTTTGCACTGAATTCCATGTCCAGCCATATTTGTTTGTTTGTTTTTTTTTTATTTTTATTGAGACAGACTTAAGTTGTGGGCCTGAACTCTTCATCCTCCTGTCCCTGCTTCCCAGAGTGCTGGGATTACAAGCATGCACCACCATGGCTGGCCTGGTATATTGATGATACACTTTTACCACAGGTGGTGTTCGTACTTCACCCACAGAATCTTACCCTGGCTAAGGTTTAAAATCAATCTTTAAGGTGAAAGTTGCATACAGTAAAAAAACAAAACAAAACAAAAAAAACTTGCTCTTGATTTCTATTTACCAAATTTTTTAACAGATGAAAACAAAGACGTATATCTGTCACTGACAGATGTCCACTGTGTAAAGGAACAGGAACTGAAACTTCCTGAGGTCAAGACATCAAACTTGAATCTACTGTCTCATACTCACATGGGCATATGCATATTGGATCGATGGCAGCAAAAATTCTGCCTAGTTAGTTATTAAGGACTCATTTAATTTTGTAAAGAATGATGATGATGTCCTCATGGTACTAGAGAATTTATACTTGTCCTTAGGGTCATTAAGAAGTTGTCTTTTAGGAAGAAGCTAGACTTCCCTGAATTAAGTGAGTGTGGCTACATTAAGACTATTTGAGCCAGTTAACTTCATTGAAAACGTTGCCAAAAATTCCTGTGGTTATTGACCTTTAGGACCAGGATAACTTCATTGACCTTTAGGATCAGCATGACTTCCCAGTTTTATAAGAGAAATCTACAGTTCATTGCAGTAACCAATATAAATAGTAAGAGCAAATGATTTCACTTTTTACCCAGGTATTATGAGATATTCCCCCATGATATTCTGGAAATGAGAACACTAGATGACTGTTTATCATGTTCTGTCTTTTTTTTTTTTTGTACTGGGAATCGAACTCACGACCTCAGACTTGCCAGGCAAGCACTTACGGCACTGAGCTATATCCCTGGCCCTGTTCTCTCTCTTATAATACTCAGAAGTTCATTTATATCCACAAAGATTCCAGAAGAAATAGTCTATTTCCACTGGCTATAATTGAATTGACGAGATACTAGCTTAGTTTGTAGGACTTCTGAGACAGTTGCATTTTCTTGCGTGTGGTTTCCTGAAAAAAAACTGTCTTGTCCCGATATAGTGACTACAGTCTTATTGCAGTGGATCTATTGCTGCTGTTTGCATAACCAGCACAGCTACCTATTATTAAACAGAAAAAGAGATGAACTCTTCTGTGTTTCAGCAGTTACTTCATCACTTTCCATCCCTGCTTCCTTCTGTGAAGCAGGAGCTCCAGGCCTGCCTTTTGATAATTTGTTAACGCTAACTAGGACTTACAAAAAGTGTACTATTCCTTCCTAAATGGAGAGATCTGACAATGTGGTGTTCACCTTTTTGTAAGGTAGAAGCAAAGGGGTAGCCCCACCTCGTTATCCCCCGAGAATCTTTTTACAAGTAGATCAGATTTTCCCAACCCTTGTAAAGCCTTGGTTTATTTTATATAAGTTCCACTGTCCAGAGAGGGCATTTCATTGGAACCTCAACACTCTCAACATCCAAAGATCTCTGCCTTTCCATAATGTAATGGAAGAACGTTAGACATCAACTTTCCTAGATGCTGCTACTGCTGAGAAGCCAACTTTTATACAGTTGGGAAAGCAGTTTATGCCTAGCTCCCTGCGCTGGGAATGACTCTGAGAAGTATGAAAAGCAGAGGCCTCCAGGTATGTGATGCCTGGTAACCCCGCTAGTAATTACCATCTCTCTCTTCTGTGTCCTTGACAACGTACAGGCTACAATGTGGTAAAGTAAGCAGAAGTTAAAAATTGCCTTTATAAATAAAGTTTAGGTTCTTCGGAATTCTCCTCCAAGATGCTATAAACTGTGAGCAGAAATAGTTGCTGTGTATAAAACATTCACAAAAGCATTAAGCCATCTTTTGGAAATATAAGAACTTGACTCTAGATACTTCATGACACAAATTAAGTAGGCAGGTGCATTATTGTATATGTAGATATGTTTGAAACAGCTCTGATAGTCATTTTATCATGATTTTAGAGAACTTTTTAAAAACCGTCTTGTAAAAGTACTTTTAGTGAAATTTATTATACGCCATAGACTCAAAATGACCTTAAAAGTGTAATCAATAAATAAAAACCAAAAGTAGTAAAAATTTGACTTAACAATACCTACCAAATATGTACTCTGTAGGGAGCTTGTTACATTAATATATATTTTGGGGAGGTGTTTTTTGAAGAGGAAATTCCTGCCTCTTCGCTGATTACTTTTCTGGAACTTTTATTATTTTTCTGCCAATTCTACCTTGGGAAAAGACCCTATAGACATGCATACAAGTGTCAAATGAAGAATTGCAGGAGGTACTAGTTAACACTGAAGACCCTGAGTAAGACTTTAGTACAAGTTGTTTTTTTGTCATAATCCTATGATGATAATGCCAAAGTATAAGAAGGTTATCTTTTAATCTTTCTGTTTTTACCTATACTTACATAGTCTTATATGTTTTTTTTTTTTTTTTTTTTTTGGTTTTTCTCCGGTACCGGGAACCGAACTCACGACCTTGCGCTTGCCAGGCAGGCACTTTGCCGCTGAGCTAAATCCCCAGCCCCTAGTCTTATATGTATTTGACCAATCTCATACTTAAATGTCTTTACTAGCTCTTATCAGTAGCAAGATTCATATTTTTATTAAGTTACTATAACACAAGTTGTGGAAGATGCTGCAGACAATTCCATTTTTTAAATTTAAATTATTAAATCAATCTAATATAATCATCACCTCACTTATTTTTTTAGTTTAAGACATTTGAAATTTATTAGTGATACTGAAATAAATAACACATTGTTATTAACTATAATCTGCCTGTTATGGTCTTCTTTTTTAAGATTGAGTAGTAGTCCTGTGTGTGTGTGTTTGTATTCACCTGTTGATGTATACTTGATTCTGTATCCTCTGTGAATAACTCTGTAATAAATAGGATTATTCCTTTAACATTGATTTCATTTCTTTTGGACATATACTCAAGAAGTGAGATTTCTGGATCATATTGTAATTTCAGTGTTTGTTTGTTTTTGAGACAGGGTCTCACTACATAGTTCAGGCTGGCCTTGAACTAAGGGCAGTCCTCCTGCCTCTGCCTCCCCAGTGTTGGAATTACAAGCAGGCATCTGGCCTTATAATTGTAGTGTTACGAGGAATTTCCATACTATTTTCCATGGCAGGTATATTAATTTACATTTCCACCAATAATTGTATGAGTTCCCTTTTCTTTATATCCTCACCAGCCTTTATCATTCATCTTTTTAAAATACATTTTATTAGTGCTTATTACTTTTATAAAGAGTGCAGTATCAGTTAGTGTCTACTAGAAAAGCAGATATAAAACAAGATATACAAGTATAAGAATTTACAAAAAAAAAAAAAAGGGAATTTACGGGCCAGGGATATAGCTCAGTGCCACAGCACCTGCCTGGCAAATGCAAGCTTCTTAGTTCAATTCCCAGTACCAAAAAAAAAGAATTTACCAGATTGGCTTGCAGTGGCCACTCATAGAGTGTAAAGGGCCTTTCTGCACACTGGAGACGGATGGATCCAGTCAGGTCTGGAGCTCATTGCAACGTTCCACACAAGTCTGTAGCAGGAAGCCAATGGGTCTTTTATGGACAGCTGAAGGGTCTATGCCAGAAACCAGATGATTTCCAAGGTGAAGGTAAAGACTGGAGCTCCTGTGAAGTAACAGAAGCAGATCCTCAGATCTATCCTTCATTTCCCCTTTCCAGGCAACAAACTGCCCTTAGGTGGGTCTTTCACACTCTTGCATGTAGAATTCCTGAGCCAATTTAATTGAGATTCAGTTACACACATTGACACAAACATCACAATCCACCTCTTGTTAATTTGACAACCAGACACATTTCTTTAAACTAGTCTCCAGATACAAAGAGAAACTCATAGTTACACCTAAAATGCTGGCTTTCGTGGCACATGCCTGTAATCCCAGCACTCGAGAGGCTGAAGCAGGATTACCATGAGTTCCAGGCCATGATTACTATGAATTCCTGGGCTACATAAGTGAGTTCAAGACCATCCTGAACTATATAGGGAGACCCTGTCTCAAA